TGGAAAAATGGCCACGGACCATGTGTCGGGTGGAAAAATGGCCACGGACCACAAGTCCGGGCGGAAAAATGGCCGCGGACCACGGGTCAGGGCGGAAAAATGAACATACCCCAAGGCAGAGTTTGCACATCGAGGTAAATTTTTGCAGCCGGAGCTGGTCGTAACCCGAAAAGTTCGTTAGTAGAGGCGTTCGTATCCCGAGGTACCACTGTATAGGGAAGTCATGAAACAAATGTAATCTATGTTGTCAATTATCTTAACTACATTCAGGCATAATCAATGAATCCTCCTTGTGGGTCCATAATTTCTGGGTTGCAAAAATCTGGGCAACCGCTAGGTGGTTGCAAACCTATACAGAAAATACTCTTTCCTGCCATCTAATGGTTGTTTGGATTAATGCAGCTTTTTAAAATGATTTTTTCACCTGCTGGTGATTTTTATATTTTTGATATACTATTTTGGTACATTTTTTAACATTTGCCATCTGAATTGTTAATTCAGTTTTTAAAGTCGGTTAGATTCAAATGTTCAGGCAACCCCAGTATGTTTAATGAATCTCTAAGTTAACAGAAGCTGATACAACCTCTCTATTCAAATTTGAAGGTTAATATTTGGAGAAAGTGAAGCTCAAAGGAAGTTGGATATTTCAGCAAGACAACAGTCCAAAACATAAAGTTAAATGAAACATGAAGTACTTATATGAAATAAAGGTAAAGGTTTTGGAATGGCCTTTACATTCCCCAAACTTGAATATTATTGAAAATCTGTGGGGAGTTTTCAAACATGCAGTGCATGCAAGAAGACCTAAGAATATGTATTTATTTGTTTGTTTGTTTTTATTTATTTATCCATCCATCCAATTTATATAGCTGCCCACCTCACAAGAAGTGACTATTTCTGAACTAGAAAGCTTCTGCAAGGAAGAGTAAGTAAATATTCCAAAAGCAAGAACAGAATGACACTTAGGTAGCTGCAAGAAACATTTGGAAGGGATTATTTGTTCCAGAAGAGCTGTTACAAAGTACTGCCTTAAAGGTTGTCCAACTCTGGGACCGTTTTCATTGTTTCTTTGTTTTGAGTCTGTAAATAACTTCACACGCGTAGTAAGTATACATTTAAGTATGGAGAAAGAGGTTATCATGTAGAGGTTGTGTCAACTTCTGTTTACTTAGGATTCATTGGAACAAGCATTTGATCTAGGTGCCAAAACTCTTGCCTGCAGATATTATAATAGTTGCTAAATAAACTCTATTTAATCTTTCAGGTCTGTGACAAATATTTGTAAAGAGACACTGCATATGCTTGTTTATTGGTGATCTTTTCTCTACCTTAGCAGCTGACTAAATTGCATCTCTATTGCCTATCAGCTTTTGTCAAAAAAGCTGAATCTGTTGTATCTTCTCCAGCAACTGTGTTGCCAGGAAAGGGTACAGTGGGGCAAAAAAGTATTTAGTCAGCCACCAATTGTGCAAGTTCTCCCACTTAAAAAGATGAGAGAGGCCTGTAATTTTCAGGCAAAAAAGTATTTAGTCAGCCACCAATTGTGCAAGTTCTCCCACTTAAAAAGATGAGAGAGGCCTGTAATTTTCAGGCAAAAAAGTATTTAGTCAGCCACCAATTGTGCAAGTTCTCCCACTTAAAAAGATGAGAGAGGCCTGTAATTTTCATCATAGGTATACCTCAACTATGAGAGACAAAATGGGGGAAAAAATCCAGAAAATCACATTGTCTGATTTTTAAAGAATTTATTTGCAAATCATGGTGGAAAATAAGTATTTGGTCAATATCAAAAGTTCATCTCAATACTTTGTTACTGTATATATCCTTTGTTGGCAATGACAGAAATGACAGTTTTCTGTAAGTCTTCACAAAGTTTTCACACACTGTTGCTGGTATTTTGGCCCATTCCTCCATGCAGATGATCTCTAGAGCAGTGATGTTTTGGGGCTGTCGCTGGGC